TTTTTTTTTTTTTTTTTTTTTTTTTTTTTTTTTTTTTTTTTTTTTTTTAGGTCGATGCCTGAAAAGACCACTCGGGGCGGTTAGCGATTGGATGAGACGACCTCATTTTCGAACTGCCGCTGGGCCGGATGCAAACATGAAAAGGAAAGATCCTGCAATTGAAAAATTGGTTATAGAATAAACGTGTGTCGTCCCGTGGTAATCCGGAGGGGTCGCAAATATCGAGAAAGAAAGGCGATTAGATGATGCGTCCCCCACGATGTAACTGTACTCGTACAGCGTACCAGCTGCCATAAGGACAAAAAACGAGACCCAAAGAGAATTTCGTCGAAAGGATAGTCCTATTAATCCGAGATGAACGCAGCTAGCGCAGCGAGGATGCGGGTTTCAGCGAAGCTAGGATTTTTTTTTTCCTTTCTTCGACAGCGCCATCTGTGCGCCAGTCGAAAAGGTTAGCACATACTCAAGTAGGAAAGTTGCATCTTTGGTTGCAGTAAAGGCGATTCAGTTTATATATTTAAGTGATCCCATTGCTGCAAGTCTGAGTTGGGAAAAGAAAAAAGGCGGCAGCAAAAGAAATGATGGTGGTGGCTGCTAGTATCATTGAGAGAAGATTTGAGAGAAGTCCCGGTAACAACAACATCGTAAGATACTGTATATGACTTGAAATACCATTGGTAATATATTCGGTACCTACGGGTACCTCCGCTCAGGTACCATGGCTGTGGGGAATCCACCCCGGTCACAAAGTCTCCGATACTGGTGCGGCAGGTACTTTTGCTGTACCGGTATCGTTCCCATTGCGTAACGGAATTTTTCATTGTGGGCCAATCAACGTTGCGGGATCAGCTAATCGTTCTTCTACTTTGCACATCCAAGAAAATAATAACGCTCACCTACAGCCACAGACTCACCCACAAAGACGGAAGGACAAAAAGAAAAAGACAAACGGATATGAACGGGAGTGGAGTCTTACTTCTGATTTGAATCTCGCGTGAGGCTACCACAAGCTGGCAGAGAAGCGCTCCAATCGCGATTACTATCGATCAAATTCAATGCAAGCGAGAATTGATCCGTATACCTATCTACTATACAATCGATCCGTCATGTCAAATTCTCTGCGGAAGTAAATCCCATGGGCTACTAAAGGATTTGGAGTTGCAGTGGTTAGCCTACAGAGTCGTACTACTTTTGCCATCTTGGGTCCTTCTGGTGAAATCGACTGGCTGTCACAAATACTGAAATGGTGTCTCTCGGACCAACTGTTCATTCACGGGCTCATTTATGATCCTAGTACGCCCTTTTGACAAGGGTGGGATGTCACCAAGGGCCAATAATAGAAGTCTCAAATTTGATTTTGGTTGACTCTCTGCATGGAATTTATCATCTTCTACGCGCCTTGAGGTCCAGTCCTTGTGAGGTCTACAAGTTACGCCGCGCTCATCTCCGAAAAGTACGAGGTACTACTCTGCACAAGAATGTTTTTTGCCCCCAACCTCCTGGACGATCGTGATCACACGTCGCTTGTCCGCTTGTCGCCGGTCTGCGGTCTGCGGTGGGTCTGTTCGACGGTTTCAACTCCACTAACCGTGCTTGCTGACGATTATCATTGACAGTTTGACTGTCCCGTCGGGTACAATCTCTTAGGACGAATGCTGTCAACCAGTCATTGCGGAATTTCATTCCACTATTATCAATGAGGCCAATGACGTTGATCTTTGAATTTGATACTAACAATTTTACAGAAAAGTACGGAATAAATATATGATTAGTCCCTCTTCTTACGGAGTGCAGAAGCACCGCGGAAGTAAAATAAATAAAGTAAAATAAATAAAATTAAAGAGGCTACCTGAGGGGACCGTCTGCGCTACTACTCCATACAGTAGCATCATACGGAGCGTATCAGATTCAACAAGGGTCGAGGAACTCCCTATTTACTCAGTACTCAAGCTAGCCATATTCAAATCTGTATAATTGTTCTACCCTAAAGATAAACATGCCATATATTCAATGGTCACTGGTCCATCTCTACTTTTGATAAACCTAGATACTGCGCCAGTAACTAAAGTAGAGCTAAATCCTGCAGAGATTTGGGGATACCTTGCCTTAGAACGCTGTACAATGCTTAATGCTGTGGCCTCACAGACCAATGGTGTCTTTTCAATTTGACCGGGGATTTCAATTTCTGGCGGCCAAATGGAGGACCCTAGTTCTTCGGTTATGCGGTTATTCAACCCCATTTGTCATAAGATCCTTACTTCCACTGAATCTCAGGGCCTTGTTTACGGGGATCTTGATCCTGAGACATGCCATTCTCTCGTACGATCATTGGGTGAGGTTGAACACATTAGACGAGCTTCTCCCAGGTACGTGAGATTGGGACTGCTATCACCAAAGGGCTAATGGTCACTTTCCGATTAATACGTCGATGTAGACAAAAACCCCGTATTTTAGGGCTCTAATATTGTGTTCTTCTGACTCTCTTGACAGGATAAACTATAATTCCAAATCACGGCTAAAAATCCATGAAAGCCTCCAACGGTGGGCCATTTATCTGGCTATTTGCTGGTACCAGTGCTCATGCATCTCAAATCTTTTGTTCTCACCAGTTTATCTTATTCCTTATTGCTCTGTACAACACCACTAGCTGTTCAACACTTCTAGCCTCCGTACGCTCTATCTTCTAGAGGGCCCAATTTTGAGTATTTGATCTGATAACGAAGACCAGCCACAAATAGTATTCGAGACTGGGTAGAACGGCAGCTGTGTCTCTTCGTACGAGGATTCGAAAATGTGGTTGGTTGGTGACTCACCAACCGTCCAGCTAGTCATGGTTCTGGAATGGACCGGACCAAACAGGAGAACGACTGAATGGCAGGTGAGACCAAAGTCTTTTGCCGTGACTCTGGGGGTAGTCAATGCTAGTGCAGACAGAGATACGTTTAAATTGCACTTTCTAGTTGGTTAGATGAGAGATTAACTATATCTCTTTTCTCCTATAGGCTACCTTCCCGGTCCCATTAGGAACACCGCAACGGATACCAATCACAAGGTGTCAGCTCTTTGGGTCGGCCTTGCTCCCAGGCCCGCAATGGTGGCGATCTTATATATTTCCCTGTGGATGAGCTTCGTATTCCAATACAGGCGATGGGGCTAGTTCCTGCGTAGCGAGTCAGAGATAAAACTGGATTGCCATTGCTCTCGAATTTATAGCTAACAACGAACAAATCAAGTGCTAGCTTTGCTATATGAATGCGGGATCAAATGCCGCTTTGTCCTAAAAAGGCATTTGTAGATATGGTTTAGCCGGGGTGGTCACACGTGACACCGGGCATTGTCCGACGCGAGATCTCTCGTTCGCACTTCGACGCGCTCTCGAGTATCGCTAGTCGAGCGATCAGAATCAGCGCTGGGTTGATCATGCAGATACTCAATTTGATAACGCAATTATGTTCAAATTACCCACTCTCCATGAAAGGATGACTGTTAACGCGGGCGATTCTCACCTGTGACTTTCAGCTGCGGTGGTGGCTGGACGTCCTCTCGGAAGGCCGATTATTTTCCTTATCCACCACCACCACTACCACCAGTGGGGCAGTTTGACTGGGCCAGAAGCCTCTACCGACTCCTCAGAGCACTCAATACACGCAGGACTGTTCGATTTAGTCGTTGAACCTGCATTGTCTTCCGCCTATCAGAGCCTGGTTGGCAGCCATGATATACATTAAACCACACCCACGCCGGTCCTCAGTCAGCGCCAATGCAGGAGGGAAAATTTTTTTTGAAGAGGCAACAGGGTAATTACGGTGTTCAATACGGTACTATTTTATGACCCATGCTGTACTCTTTGGCGTGCGTGTGTATGAGGGCCGAGGCTGAGGAAGAGATTCCCTGCCGGAGCACAACATGTTGCGTTGCCCGCGATATCCCTGTTTCTTAAGCCTCTATTGGGAAAAAAAGAAAGAGGGGGGATAAAAAAGAACAGAAGGGAAAAAAAAAAAAAAAAAAAGGAATACGGCTCATTACGGGCCTGTATCAAGATTACGGCCATTGACAGACAGGTTGTTTGAGGATCATTTCCTCGCGGCAGAAGCTTTGACGCTTGGGACCATCTGAAACCATCGTCTTTTGGCTTCTGCGGCCCCAAGCTTGCCGGGCCCGCAATCGGATTCCCGCCCAGAGTGCGGTGCGATGGCGAGTATAGAGACTGCTCGACAGATCAAGCCAATGTACAGCTAGTCCCTGCAGTTTTGCTCCTTCTCTCGCCCTTTTTCTCTTTTTTATCTGCATGCCGGACCTGCGCGATATCGAATGAGAAGTCCCAGTGGCCAAATATTCTCCTGGAGAGTGTGTTCGGTTACTATAATTTTTTTTTCTTTTAATTGTTTTGTTATTTTTTTTTTAAAAAAAAAAATCTTTTTTCGTTTCCTCTTTGCTTTTCTTAAATGAAGCTGGTCTTGGTTTAGCGTTCACCTAAATCGTTGAAACCGTTGGGTCCCGGATATTTCATCCACTCGCTCTCGACGTCTCTTTTGCAATTATCGCAATTGCTCTTGTGTTGTGCTTTCCTTCTTTTCCCCTCCTCTACATGAGGAGTAGGACTCATACATAGGAACCACCACAATTCCCAATCCTTTCTGTGGGCATGGGTTTTGAGTTCGCCTTTCTACTCTTACTCTCTATTATCTATATAGAGCGAAATTGAGTACGATTCGACCTCCATGTTCCCTGTTGGCCCGATGTGCAGTCCCCCTCAAAATCTCTTTCTTTCCGGACTGCGGTTACTTTGAATGAACTCCCGTTCTACAGTCATTCGTTGCAATTCGGTACTACGTGTTTGTATTTCTATCTGCGCCAGTACAGTCACATCGTTCTGTTTGGGAGGCTCTGTCATTGTTGTCCTTCTTTTTTCGTATTCTTTTCTCTTTCTTTTTTTTCATCATTATTGCGTTGCCAGGGTACGGTAGCCGCTTTCTGTTTTCGGTCATCTGCTTTCTTCCTCTATTTGCTCTTAGGGTTACTTGCTTATCTGCTGGTGGTGGTCCCGGTTTCTATACTTTGGTCAACCATCTTGTTTTCTCTGTCAAATTGAACCTCTGAATTTCATTTATCAGGTTGCCTCTGTTGAAAGGAAGGCTCAGGCAAATTTGCTTCCATGGTTTGGATATGTCGAACCCTACTGAACGGCCATGGTCCGAAGAGGAGAAGGTATGAACCATGCTCAAAGAACAGCAAGAAGAAGTAATCCGTTTCAGTGGACTGACCAAGAACAATAAATAATATCCAGAAAGTCCTTCTCACGGAGATACTAAAGAAAGACGGGATACCTTCCAGATATCTAGTCAAATTGATATGTGACCTTAAGATCAATCCGGCCTGGTCGTATATTCCCCTTCCTCCAGGTACAGATTTCCTGGCACTCTTTTTGCGTCTCTTCTACCCATCAGTTCGCGTATCTGCCCTGTCATGGCTCCAGACAGAGGAATACTACAAAGACAAAAAAGATCTCGAGATCCAGACATAGACAGAATCTGTGTTTGCTAATTCAATGCCCCCAGGGAGGTCACTTAATTCATGCCAGCTGGCATTCGGTCACATGTGCCAGCAGCATGTCCAGCAGCCTGTTCTGCCGCGTTCAGCTATGATCCCTGCTGCTTCGCAACCTCAGCCACCGCACCCTGAACCCATAACGCCAGCAGTCGTGCGGAAACGGCCGTGTCCCGGAATGGAACGGCCAATTGCGCCACGCCCCTCTACTGTGCCATATGACCAGGGAAGCAGCGCTTCCATTACATCTCCAAATATGAACGAGCCACCAAAGAAACGAGGGCGCCCAACTAAAGCAGAAGCGGAACGGAAAAGAGCAGAAGAGGAACGAAAGAAAGCTGCCGCAGAAGCCAGAGGGGAGAGGTATCCGCTTCCCAAACGAAGGGGCTCAGGGAAATCTAAAGCCTCAACTGCAACTGTCCCCAACAGTCCGGCCGGATCGCTTGGGGCTACTGGCACTTCTTTTTCTCCCCGTACTAATGTCCAGGGTCTCGAGGCGTTCAAAGCTGAACCTCAAATCCACCATGGACCTTCTGCTGGACAACCGTTGGACCGGTCCGCCGGCTTTGGAGGGAACGAACAAAGATCAAGGGCTATGAGCGATCAAATTCTGAGACCGGTCAGCAATACTACCAGCAGAGAACTTCCGCGACCGATGGAAGCAAGGCAGACTCTCCCATCGCCTCAAGAATTACAGTTGGGACATCCGGAACCGATGCCAAGGTTTAATCCTAGCCACCCGCCCCTTGAACATTTCCATCCTGATCGAATCCCGCGGGTGTTCGATGCACCTCGACCTATGCTGGCAGATCCTGCCAGAAATAGGAGACCGGAGTATCGCATAATAGCGCCGGCGCCGACCTTGGACCCAGCAACTGAGAAAAAATCTCGATGATGTTCCAGAGACGTGCGATGTGCAAGTATGCGATGTGACTGGTATTCGTCAATCATGAGAAACGATACACGGCCATAAGTAATGAGACGGGGGTATAAACTCTTAATGTATGATTAGGATTGATGAACTTGGCATCTCAAGTCTTATGATTCACGAATCCTAGGAAATAGACATTCATACCAGAAATACAGAATACAATTAGAATCATCATACCTTTATATACCTTTTTGAATGCATCGTCGTTCATCTCGCCATCCCATTTTCCGTGCCTTATTTCCTTGGGTTCTTCCATCACTGCCTGTCCTGACTTCTGCCTACCAGTCTATATACGCTGCTCGCTCTCTTCCTCTTCCCCCCCCCCCTTCCTTTCTCCAACTATCTACTCATCCTAGGACAATCTTCTTTTCATCTATTCCCATCTACTTTCACTTTCATCGTCTATTTTCATATTTTACCATCTCTTTATCATCTATTCTGTTCTTGGACATGCACAGATCTCTCGAGGCACCCCATGGTTGGCGGTTGGGTAGGGTACAGAGACGAGTTACGAATTCACAAACACTCACACTCCCGTAGAGCAACACGAATTGGCCCTGTAAGGAGGCTGATGATAAGCATGGGCTAGCCACTGACCCCAGCGAGTTGTCGCCGGCCGATTGACCATGCTGGATGACGGGAACTCTATTGGAAGGACTTGTTGAGCGGTAGGGTTGGGCCTGGGAAACCTGTTTCTGCCGCACTGATATGAGTGTTTCTTTTATTTGATAAACTAACTGTTATCTTGATTAGTGTACTCTAGATAGGCAACAAGCCTCATGGTCGGGTGGTTGGGTTGAGCCTCGGAAATGGGCTACCAAGTTCATTCCATTCTGATCTATGTCGTCTATTATTGAGTTCCCTTTCTCTGGTTTTTATTGATACGATGTACTAGGTGTTGCTTGGCAAATTTGTCTCGTCTCCGAACAGATTAGATATGTAACATTCAACCAATATACATAGTGTTTGTTACAGGGTTGGAGAAAAGAAGGTAATATGTATTGTTTTATATGCCAGAGATTTTGATGAAGAAAGTATTGACCTCCTCGAATATGACGGTTATTTGAGCGTTTGTTCAGTTCAACCGCCCCTTTCTGGCGAGCAACTTAGGCGAATAGGGGATGTGCCTTGTCTCGATCCGGTTCATGGTAGACAACCAATAATCAATCATTTTCTCTCTTTGATTTAGCAATTAAGTGGATAGCATATAATCATCAAGCCAAGATTATCCAGAACATACAGATTCCAGACAAATACATGCCTGCTAGCTACGATCCAGCATACACGGGTACTTTGCGCGCACATGGAATGGTGCGATTATATAACATTGCTAGATCCCTCATACTTCTGATGAAGAGTATGTTAGGGGGAAAGAACGGGACAAAGTATTGAATAATGATATTACATGTTCAGAAATGTATATTCCGGTGTACCCCACATCAAGTGATGTCAATCGTTATGCTATGAACCGGACTTAGATTATCCATGCACGAAAGAAAAGAAAGCTAGCCAGCACCAAGTCATCATGGCCAGGCCAGCTCTAACTCCCTCTAACACGTCCCAGGAGACACCGCAGTTTGGCGCGGGGATTCTCAGGCGGTGACGATGGGGTTTTCTTGTCGTTAGTTTCTGACGCGGGAGGTTCTGGCATTGCTTGATCTTGAAGCTGGCGCTCGGGTTGAGATTCGGGTTGAGGTTGTTGCTGCTGCTGCCTTTGCTCCTCTAATTGCGTCCTGATCATCCCCACGGCAGAAGTAAAACTAGACGGTGGCGTGACCGCTACTTTCTTACCGATGGGGACAGTCTGCGAAAGGGGTTGCTGGTTTCGCTGGTTTGGCTCAAAGCCGCCTTCGGGGTCTTGGACCAATCTCATTACTTCGTCTTTGCCATCTACCCGGCGAGTTAGGTACATCTTCGGTGCGGTGCCGCGGCGGGGAATGCTGTGCTTGCAGATGCGCTCGACTTCCTCGCGGTAGGCGTTTTCGTAGATGTCGAATTCGGCCGCGGCGGGGGATTCGCTGACAATGGGGACGTCGTCGACCTCGGTCATGGGGGTATCTTCAAGGTTAGCGGTTTCTGGCTCTTCGAAGATGGTGGCTGATTGGGAGTCGTTTGTATCATTGTGCGATGATCCTGTGTATGTTGAAGGGCCGATGAAGAGGTAGGGGAACTCTTCTTCCAGCGGATCTCGTGCATGACCGCGTGTTCCCTCTATGCTTCGCTTGGTAGCGACCGAATTTGTTCGTGACAATGGGGGAATTGATGGAGATCCCGATCGGGACCAAGCCCCATTAAAGTCATCTGTAGAGTCAGCCCGAAATCCCGAGCTACGTACCGAACCGGAATCCATTCTTGGAAGAAATCTTGCAGCTGGTCCACCACGCTGCTGGTGGTATCCTTGCAATACATTTTCGCGCTCTGAAGGATCCCGATTGTATGTGTCTAGGCTCTGACTTTTGCTCGTAATCGATATGCTGTTGCTCAACTCGAAGCTCTCGTCCGGCTCCATCTCCATGGGTGGCTCGACGAAATGTGCCTCGTATTCTTGGCCCAGAATACTCTGTATTGGAGGATCTTCTTTGTTTGGATCTACCAGTCGCTTGAATTTCTTCACAGCTTTGATCTACTTTCTGTCAGCTTGCCTCAACGCAGTATATAAGCAACTCATAACCCACAACAGCAAGAATGTGCCCCACGGTCCTCGTGATGGCCGAATTCATTTCTTCTTCTGTTGGAGGCTCAATTATTTCTGCCGTATTTTCACTCTCTGACAATAAAGGATCGATTCCGTTCTTCGTCACCCACGGGTGTCCCTAGTGCAACAGGTAAGCCCTATGCTTTTACGAGTCTGGCCTGATGTCCAACCCACCCGAATCTCACTCATCATAATCCTCTTTGTTGGATCCTTCTCCAATAGCCGATGCATCAGATCTCGGAAACTTTCATCGGTCTCCCCTTCACATACGACATCATCATTCCTGATGGCCTCATAGAGATCGAAGATGCTCCCCTTTTCAAAAGGCAGCTTGCCATATCGAAGACAGTACAAAGTTACACCCATGGACCATATGTCTGTCGCTTTGCCCGAAACATCTCCGTGTTTCACGACGCATAGCTCTGGCGGAAGAAATGCTGGCGAGCCAGCAGACTTTGCAGTGAACATGTCTGAATCTTTCTCGAACATCTCGGACACCCCAAAGTCGACAATTTTGAGTACATCATCGGTTGTCACGAGGCAGTTGTCCGGTTTGATATCTCGGTGTACAATTCCCTGCGCATGGAGATACTCGATTCCCAGAATCAAGTCGCGGAACCAATAGCGGCAGCGTTCGTCATCATATGGATCAGCTCTTTCCTCCAAACTAACCTTCATGACCACGCCTTTCTTGCACATCTCCATGACCATATATAATGAGTCCTCTTTCGGGTCATCTAGGACTTCAATTAAAGATACCAGATTGTTATGATTTAGTTTCTTCATGATGGCAATCTCTGCTTTGATAAGATCGATGGCTTTTCCAGCAGATTCATCCCCCCTTCTTGGGGGTGGGCGATGGGCAGAGGAGTTGAAGCCTGACCCCGAGCGTTGCGGGCCTCGAGGCCTCCTGAGAAGATGTGATTGAGCACGTCTCCTAAGTCGTGACTTCGAGAACTCTTTGACGGCCTGACTCGGAATATCTGTCAGCCAAACAGAGCACTCTGTAGGTTGGATTTCGAATAGCTCTCACATATTCATTGCCATATTGGTCCGCTGCTAGATGGACAGACCCGAAAGAGCCCCTACCGATCTCTTGTTTTATCAGGTATTGATTGATGCGATGCTCAGCGGTACCGTCATCCTGACTGGTCGTATATTCCGAACGAGCGTTGAGCGTTTCCTGTTCGTTTGACACAATCAGTTGACCGACGGCGATGACAATATCTCCAAAAATAGTGTACAAACCTTTACTTGACGTCTAACCATCGGATTGCGACGGTGGTGTCTCTGTAGACCTTCATGTGATGACGGTGTCGATCTGGATAGTAAGCATACAAGTAAGCGGTGGACTCCAACGCATATCAATCATATAAGACAAGCGATGAAGAGAGTCTTCTGAGGGCTGCAGACATACGCATAACGAGCTGGCGTTGAGCGCTGAAAGGCCGAACCGTCATTCAAGTTACCGATGAGGGGAGATTCCGAACGAGCATCGGGCAAAGTTGCGTCCCCATTTTCGGTTGCCATTGAACTGAGCGATGACCGAGACAGTTGAAGACTGGGACCAAAAGAGCGACTATCAGATGGTGGAGGAATGTATCGAGTGTCCTTTTTTTTTTTTTGGCGGCAGTCTCAGTTTGATAGAGAAAACGACTGCGAGTAAGGCCGAATGTGGGGAAGAGTAATATGGTAAGATGACAAGCAAACTACTGCCGCTCGGAGGAACGTGGTCAGTTTGAAATGCAGAAGAATGAAATGGGAATGCAAGTAATATAAGTTACAATTCTATTATATGCTATAAGCACAAATATGCAGTTCTCATGATGGCGCTGCGCTGTCTTATTTGCGGTCGGAGGTTTCTTCGTTTTGACGGCTGCTAAGAATAGCGGCATCACTAATGCCATGGCTATCGATAACCGTCTCACCGCCTGCCCCCTATACAGACTGCTTGTTGCTTCTCTGGATCTCCAGGGGTTGTTGAACTTGTTGCCATGTGTTGTTTGCACCAGTAGTTCAAGCACCATGGTAGTCTATTCGTTCTACATTTTCGATCGTCACGGTATGCTTACTTTCATCGGGAGATATGACCTGTCGCTGAGTATTAATTGTTGTAACAGCCGAGTGCATCTACAAACGACGCTGGCTCCCTCGTCCAGTCTCGATCACCAGCAAATCTTCCCGGCCAGCGTCCGATCTCTCAATCCAGAGTGCCGGGGGTTCGCCAGCGGTGTTTGGAGAGTCTGCGCGGACAACAGATGACGATGCAAAGCTCATTTTTGGCACGGTCTTCTCCCTACGGAACATGGCCCGCAAGCTAGGCGGAGAGGATGACAAGTAAGACCCCTTCCCCCTTAGACCCCTTTTTATTATGACAAGTAATTGACGGTATGATCGGCTTTGTGTGCAGTTTTGTGTCCTACCGTACCAATCAATATAAGCTTCATTATTTTGAGACGCCGACGAATATCAAGTTCGTGATGCTCACAGATCTCAAGAGTCCAAGCATGCGACTTGCTTTGGAGCAGATTTATATCAATCTTTACGTCGAATATGGTACGTGACGGAAGACATATATATTGAACTCAGGTCCTGACTGGAGTCTTACAACAGTGGTCAAGAATCCGTTGTCCCCGGTGGAACATCCTGGTGGTGTCGGAGTCAACAATGAGCTTTTTGAAGAGTCCTTAGAACAGTTCGTGGTATGTAATGACCTGCGATATTGGCTGTGTTGTTTCTAACGCGTGGACAGACTCGAGTTCTGACATAGGCCTGTGAATGAACATATACCCCTCTGTCCTAATGCTACGACTGGACGATCAATATGATACTATCCTCTGGCTTATTCCCATCGGCGTCTTGAACCGGCGATGTCAAAGTTATTGAAGATGAACGCTCCGACCATGTCCCTTGTGCATAAACTGGAGCCGTCAGTTTGATCGTGTCACGTGGATGATCCCAATCATTACGCTACTAGACGCGCGAATACTCGTTGGTTCATGACAAGAACGAGCATATTCTAATGACGCCAACGCGTTGGAAGACTGAACCAAGAAGTCATTCCTGCGCTTGGACGAAGTCTAAGTCATTAATGACAATTTAACCGGCTGCCTGATATTCTCCTCGGTTCCATTGCCCGAAAAGGATATCCTGGGCGTATTCTATTTCCCGTTGCCGAATCAGAATAAGCGATTGGACATGGACAAGGTGCGTCGTACAATATATAAGCTGCACAGGAGCGGTTCGGGATGCGGTGGACAGATGCAGTATAACCAAGCCGGAAAGAACGGATACAATCAGACATTTGTTGTATAGGATAGCACAACAATACAGTAGACAATCTAGCATTTCTGTTATCAATCACAATAGCGTAGTTATGGTCGAATGGACATGTATTCAGCATAACAGCACACTCTATATGCAAGTCAAAGCTTGACCACGCAACGATAGCGAATGATTCGTTTTGAGCAATGGATGGGGTGGATAAGGATAAGCAGAGGCAGGGCTTGGCCCTGTACAAGTCCCTTTTACAGGCTATGGATCCATCCAGCCGATCCAATCGTCTCGTCTCAAATGTTTTCATGAGCATGAGCACGAGCGCAGGGGAGTACAGAGGCGCCTGCTGAATTGTCCAGTATTGGATGCCCAAAGATTCTATTTGCTACGAGAACTCTCAGTAGACAAGAAGGTACGGAGTATACGAGGGTAACTGGCGGTCAGCAGTCATGCCGTGAGTTTGTTTGGTTTTATCCTGGACCGATCAATCAAACGATCAAATCAAGCCAACCCGTGTCCAGCCGATTGTGCGTGGTTGGAAGAATGCATCGGATTACTGTTTTCTTATGCACAATTCCTGCCGCGAGCTGATCTGACAGGAAATAATGAAAGATACATACACCATCCACACACATACCCACATAGTGTACACTTACAGTACGGACCGCACCATGTGTTGCAGACCCGACACCGGGGGACAATCCTTACTAAGCGAGCTCACAGGTTATCATTGGACAATGTAAAAAATCCCTCGTCAGTGGAGGCTTTCGAGGTTTGTTACGTCAGGGGCAGATTGATTGCTTCCCGGAGAGGCAGGTGGTCTATAGACAGTATTGTACCTCCGTATGAAGTTGAGTATTATTGGAGGCTAGCACACCGTACAGAATCTCCGCTTAGCATGAGCTATGGAGATACATACTCCGGAGTACATACTTTGGCTAGAGTACGATTAGCTTGCTTTTGTTCCGAGAGGAGGACTTGAGATTCTGGCGTTGTGAAAAGCTAGCTGGCTGAAGATCATGCACTCATCGTACATGATACATGCTACAAGTACATATATATGTACAGCACAGACTAGAAGAGCTTCAAGGCAAAGCTTTGATAGGCCTGTGCAGGACCGATCAGGATGACCTCGCTTGTCGTCTGTGCCATGTATTGGTACTTAGTACGAGAATACGACAATAATGTTAAATGCCCTACCTTAACGAGTCCTAACAAGTCCACATACAAGTACATACATACACATACACTCGCAGACACACTGACCCACGGGATCCACGAGTAACCCCAATTGGGATCGATGCATACGGGACATACAACGTAGTAATAAAATTGGATAAAAATGAGAAAAGCGAAAGAGAGGGAGCTATGATCTGATCGCAAGCGCTCCGAAGTAAGGTATTTCGTACCCATACGTTAGTGGGTGAAGTGTTTTCTTGGCCTTTGGTTTGGGAGGGGTGAATTGCAGCCAAGGCATGCCTTAATCAACTTTATCATTGGAGTCAGATACAGAGTACACTACTATTGAGAGGGTACGTATGCTGTACCAAACCTGACTGCCGATATTTCGCTCGGGTGCTGGAAAGACTAATGATCGGAACACCGTTAGCCCGCGTGGTAGACTCTTCACCAGAGTACGAGAATATCACCCTCGGCGGATCCCGTTACCCCTCAGAAGGTGTGCCATCACCGCATGTGAGAATCAAACAACCTATCTCCAGAGAACAAGAGATGATTGATTGATCAGTCAAACAGCCAAGAAAGCTTCGCCCGGAATGAGCCACTGTATAGACCGGATGCTGCCATTGTGTGTGTGTGTGTGTGTGTGCAATAAGGGCCCAGGGTGCGGGGATGCACAGCCTCAGCAACCATCAGGGATGGCACTACGTCACCGCTGGTGAGGGGGAAATTTGAAACCTTAGTCAGCAGGAGGGAAGGGTGTTCCAGGGAACAAATCAATCAAAGTGTTCATAGTACGTGGTAGAATGGATTGGACCTGATAATCACAATAACAATCTTATATTGTAAGGGTACTATGTATGGAGTATTCGGTCCAGATATCGCGAAGGATCAAGGTGAAACGATTAAGTAAATTTGATGCAAACAAAGTGGCCTCGAATCATGCGCCACAGTTCAATTGGTTCAATTCATGGGTAGCATTCATATGATTCTTGATCCTGGTGTCGATGTTCCTACAGAGTAATAACATTACATACAATATTCTTGACATGCAGGACACCATCATCCATGTATCGTTTTAGTATTTTAGCTGCATAAATGGCCCATAGGCGTGTCCGGTAATTTATCATACGGCGTGACACACACCAGGAAAGGGAGGCGGTCACAATGCGGCGCGGCGAGGCAAAAGGAAACAATCATGCTGATTTCATTCATTTTTCTGCCGCTTCTCTTTTCTTCTTCCCCAAACGGAAAAAAGCCTCAGGTTTTTTTAGCTGGTGTCCACAATACTCCGTCCAAGTTTACGAGTACGTACGCTTACACCATGGGGTGTGTGGTAATAAAAGGGCCGTGGCCGTACTTGTAGTCACTGCAACTAGTCCTAGTTCAGCATATCCGAGTCTCTTACTGTAGTATATCGGTTCAAGTTGTTATTTCAACCTTGCCTCCCCAGGCAGCGTCATTCTCTTCTCTCTTTTCTCTTCCTCTTCCTCTTCCTCTCTCTTCTTGGACTCTTTACCCGTTCTCGCTTCCTCACATTCATCGCCCTGCCCGGATCTCTGCACAATTTTGCGGTCTTCCCCGGTCATAGTTACCGTCTCATCTGGGCATTCCGTGCCTCGCTGCGCGGTACTCCCCTATTTTTCTTATTGCTATAAAGCCTGCGGTTGCTGCTAGTATCCATTGGATACTACGAATCTTATTTCGTTGACGTTTTTTTTTTTTTCTCTACTTTTTGGGTCTCTACCCCAACGTTGCCTCAGGTTCCTACCGCCAGGCCACCGCCCCCCAATTTTTTTTTCCTTTTTTTTTTTTTTTTTGCCTCGCCTCTGCCTTGCCCACTACTTCTTCCCCTCTCCTTTTCTCTCTCTCCTTGCCCTCTTCTCTCTCTTCTCCCTATCTCCTCTCTAAACACTAAAATTGCTATTCTACCCCCCCTTCTCAGCTTCGCGCTGTGGGTTATTGGTTCTCTCCGTCTCGGGGAGAATCTCGGTTCCTCTTTGTTCTCCGTGTCCCACGACCTAAAAAAAAATACAACCACCATTTACCGCCGTTTTTGATCACCGCACATGACTCCGCAATCTACTGCTACTTCCCCTGTTGCGTCCGCTGTCTCCTCCGCCACAAATTCTCAGATTTTTAGCGAACCGCGAGATGGAGATGCTGCTCAGGTAACCCGTGCCCTTGCGGGCATGAATCTGTCCGCCATGAATGGGGATTCACTTCCTGCGCCTCCGCCACACGGTGCCACGAGACCGGCCAGGCCTACCATGGCAAATCGCATTTCTCGCATGTTTTCTTCCACTAAGACTACCACTTCCAAGGACCAGCCCTCGGATTCAAATCGTGACTTTTCCGATAGCAGTTCGGATGGCGCCAAGGCTCCTTCGGCCAATGGAAGTCAGAAGCCAAGCAGCAAGCCCTCGTCTAAACCTCCGTCCCGCGCACCTTCTCGCCAGACCTCCACTAAAGGTGACGACAGAGATAAAGAGAAGAAACCCAAATCGAGCAGTGGCAAAGAGCAGAAAGATACCGCCGCCATCATTAGCAAGCGGTTTGAGTTGCAGACCGACGGGAATCATGTGCATCATCTCAGAAGTGCCCGTCGACAGGAGAAATTGACCGATCTCCTCCGTGATATGCTTGGTGGGAGCCGGAAGAAGGATGACCACGCTGATGATCAGCAGCAATTGTCCCTCATGTCCACCTGGATCGATCAGTTCAAGAATGAACGCGATAAGTTGGCCGCAGACAAGAAGGGTGGCCCCAATGCCACCGCGTCGTTGGTTGACAAGTACGGCAAGTGCCAGGAGATTGTGGGTCGTGGTGCCTTTGGCATCGTCCGTATCTCTCACAAGGTTGACCCCAAGGACCACAAAATGGAACAGCTCTATGCCGTCAAAGAATTCCGCCGCCGGCCCCAAGAGACTGCCAAGAAGTATCAGAAGCGGTTGACCTCGGAGTTCTGTATTTCCTCGTCGCTGCGCCACCCCAACGTTATCCACACACTCGATCTATTACAAGATGCCAAGGGTGATTACTGTGAAGTCATGGAGTACTGTGCAGGCGGAGACTTGTACACTCTGGTTCTGGCGGCTGGCAGACTCGAGGTGGCCGAAGCCGACTGTTTATTCAAGCAACTGATGCGTGGTGTCGAATACATGCACGAAATGGGTGTCGCTCATCGCGATCTGAAACCCGAGAATCTCCTATTGACCACCCATGGTGCACTCAAGATCACCGATTTTGGTAACGGTGAGTGCTTCCGTATGGCCTGGGAGGAGGAAGCCCACATGACGGCCGGTCTCTGTGGATCCGCTCCCTACATCGCCCCCGAAGAGTACATCGAGAAGGAGTTCGACCCCAGAGCGGTCGATATCTGGGCAACTGGTGTCATTTACATGGCAATGCGTACGGGACGACACTTGTGGCGGGTTGCTCGTAAAGATGAAGATGAATTCTACCAGCGTTATCTGGAGGGCCGCAAACATGAAGATGGCTACGCTCCAATTGAAACTCTTCATAGGGTAAGAACTGGCAACACTACTACGTCTCGTGATGAAAAGTCAACCAAACTTACTCGATCCCAGGCTCGTTGCCGCAACGTGATCTACTCTATCCTGGACCCAAATTCCACTCGTCGTATCAATGCCTCACAGGTCCTGAAATCTGAATGGCTTCGTGAGATCAAGCTGTGCAAGGCAGGCGAGGAAGGGTTCTGATTTTCTTTCCATTTTTTTTTTTTTTTTTTTTTTTTTTTTTTTTTTTTTTTTTTTTTTTTTTTTGTTTTTTTTTTTTGGGTTTTTGTTTTTTTTTTTTTTTTTTTTTTTTTTTTTCCTCT